TATATATAATATATATATATATATATATATATATATATATACACGTAATTTTTTATCAAATAAATAATTTTATCCAACACAAAAACATGAACGTGTACACAACAAACCCACACTAAATAAATAAATAATAATCATTCTATACAAATTAAGTCAATATTGAGGTTTACTTTAGCTACTTCTAGCTTGTGGTTATTTTCTTCTAGTGTATTAATATTTCCAAAAAAAAAGTAACATTTAATTTTCATTATACGATTGATTTCACATTATATAACACATAATTATAGTGTTACGAGTTATTTATAAATTTTATGTTTGTTATAGTTTTGACATTATAATATTGAAATATGTTGAACCTTTTATCTTGTTAATTTAGAATAAAATTGATGTAATATGTGATTATTGTTGTAAAGCTTATGGAAAATATCTTCTCGCGAACACTCGTAGTAAATTTACCAAAGATTAATACTTGATCATCATAAACTTTCGTCAAAGCTTAAGGCATGTCAAAAATATTGTCCTTAAGGATATTTCACCCGCTAGAAATATATCCCCAATATTCAACAATTTCTTCTAATATAAAATTAGAAGCCAGAAACTAATAAAACTTCAATAGATAAAAAACGAACGAAAATGACGAGTGTTTCCGTGTGTTCTTGTTCGAAAGAAGTAAAAAAATGTGAGTAAAATCTATTTTCTTTCATCTTTTTACTGTGCTAACATTAATCATCTCGATCCTATGCCAACTATCTTCACAAAAGAGTATAAAATCTTTCCCTAAAGTCTAAAGTCACGTCGATTAAATTAATAATAAAGGCTAATAATTGCCATAAATGCAATTCCTTGTAAAGAAAAGAAACGTTAATAATTTATTAAGAGTAATAACCAACTAAGGCTATTTATAGAGTAAATAATTTGAAACATACTATAATATTCTTCTTCAAATATAAATAGGAGATAAAAAAATTTATTAATTTTCTTGAGATATACAATAATTATTTCTTACGTGATCAAAGGTTCGTTTCTCACTTTTACCCTTCTAATTAATCAACAACAAATTTGGTGATTGTGATTTATCAATTTCAATGAATTGAAGGCGTAAGTTGTTTTCATGTTATAATGCTTCTCGATATTTTGGGTGCTAAAATTCAAATGTTTAATATATTTTTTTATTAATAAGAAAATTTCATTGATTTTTAATTATTTCTAAGTATTGTATATCATCTTTTCCTTTGTTGTGATCTGGTTCCTCTTTCTTATTCATTCTTTTGTATTATTTAAAATAATAAGAGATTGATAAATTTTAGTCGATCGATGTAGTTCTACACCCAGTTGATTCATACTTAAAATTGACAAAGTAATTTTATACAAGTATAATGCGTTTTTAGAAGATTGTTTCGATTAAAAAGTATGGTTATATAGTTTTTTGAAACACATAAAAAAATTTAATGATGCAGTAATGTACCCTGATCAATTTAAACTTTCTTTAATTTTAATTAAGAGGGGTAAATAGAGATTATTTGATGCAGCTGAAAATAATTATTTCTCTGAATGTCAAAAACTAAAAATATAGTAAACACGTCTAAATGGAGTCTAATAAAAGTTCAACAAACTTAAAATACGAGCAAATCAGAGCCTAAAATAATACATCCAACTAATTTTAGACAAATATATGTGGATAAAAGCGACCACATTGCTAGAATCACGGCCGTCGACAAAAAATGACGAGGAATTCAAAAAATGATTTAAAATATCCCAACTCAATTTCAGATGACAACTTTAAATAAATTAAACATTTAATATAGTCTGATTTCATATTTATACCCTCCAATTTTAAATGTGCACAAGTAACTACTTAAATTTCTATAAAGTTAAACAAATAAATATATACTGATGTCCTACATGCCAATTTGCATTCTACGTGTATTATCTCACATAGGACACATGTATTTGTTTTTTCAACTTTATGCAATGTTAAGTGTCTACTTGTGCAAACACAATGTTGAAAGACAAAAATAAAATAAATCAAGTTAAAAAAACACATTTATATATAAAAAAAAAAGTGTGACAATATCAGTTTCAATCCTCCAATTATTCTTCCAGACCAATTTCAGTATCACTCTCACTTCCTCTAATGCTAAACACGCATTGAAATGGAATCACATTGGATAAAGTGAGAATGAGAACTGAAATTGATAAGGAAGAATAATTGGACGATTGATATGAATTTGATACCCAATGCTCCAAGTTCTCATGGATTCGTTAATTTTAGTGCGTTAAACTCCTTATCTTCCTAGATTATCGTTTCTATTTAGTTGTTATCATTTTATATTTTACGCTTAGGTAAATTTGTCATTGTACCCTTATTTAGTGTTCTCTGAGTCAAGTTTTTGATAAACAAACATGTATTAATTATTTAATTTTTCTGGACAAATATAAACTTTTGAATGGTAACATAGCAAAAACAATGTCATTTATATATTAATTTTGTGAAATGGTAAATACTTCCCTATTCAACCGTAGCTATCCACTATCAGTTTGACAAACCCGTTAAGAAACAATAAACAATTAATATAATCTTACTATATTAACTTTTGACTCTATTAAATTTAATATTTTGAAAAATGTATTCGATGATAACTAGTATATAAAGCAAGGATTGAATAATTATTTTTGATATAGTGGACAATTATTATTGAACAGATAAAGAGCTAAGCAAATCTATTTTTTAGTAAGAATGACATAAACTTATCTTCTTTTTAAGTAGACTAATTTTTAGGTAAATTTTCACATGATGTCTAATTTACCCTATAGTATATTTATTGAATCCGTGGAAACTGACGCCCAAAGACAGTTATACACTAAACTAGCACAACCTAAAGGAAAAAAGAAAAACAAATTTGTTGAACCATCTTACGTTAAATAATCTACCTAATCAAAAAGATGACTTTTAAGTAAAATCATGCTTAAGTTGTTACCACAAAAATAAGCAAGAAAAACATGCGTCATCCTCCAAGAAAGCAATTAAAGGCTGCTTGTGATGAACACAACAAATGTTCAAACTTGCTTTTTCTAAAAGTTTCAAATTTCAGGTAAAGTAATTTATTCTTTTATGACAGAAAATCAAGTAAAAGGGGCATAATTCAGTTGAAAATCGATACCTGAAAAAACGTCGATTTCTAAAATCTGAGTTCTATAACTGTAAAGGAAACTGCAAACAACTTTTAAAATACTTTTCTAACTATCTAGCACCAAAAGCCAAATGGTAACTGAAATTCTAAAAAATCTAGAATACCACGGAAAAGATGCTTCTGTTTTTCTTTCTTGTAAGGCATCATTAACCAAAGTGCACTCTATTTTGTATTCCTTCAGGTATATATTTATATCCTCAAGCAATAAATTCAAACACAAATTTGAGTTGATAATCAAATTAATACTTACCAACTAAAGACTTCAAGGCTATGGAGATTAAGGTAGATAATCAGATACCCCGGAATCTTGATGACGAGAAAGTTCCTCTGCTTGAAAGCTCAGAACTGCCTGAAGTGGAGAAAAACCTGATACAACAAGCAATAAGCCACACATTTAAAAGCACTGCCCATCTTGCCAATCTTCTGCCTACTGGATCTGTTCTTGCTTTTCAATTTTTATCACCCATATTCACAAATCAGGGACAGTGTGATGTGGTTGGTCGATCCTTAACTGCTGGTCTTGTAGCACTTTGTGGACTGTCATGTTTCCTATTGAACTTCACAGATAGTTTCAAGGATCAGAAAGGAAATATTTGCTATGGGTTTGCCACAACACGCGGCTTGTGGATAATTGATGGATCAGCAACACCCCCGTTGGAAGTCGCAGCAAAGTACAAGCTGAAATTTATAGATTTCATGCATGCCATCATGTCAATATTGGTTTTTGCAGCTGTTGCGTTGTTTGATCAGAATGTGGTAAGTTGTTTCTATCCGACACCTTCATATGAAACACAGGAACTGCTTACAGCTCTGCCAGTTGCAATTGGGGTCATCTGCAGTATGTTGTTTGTGGTGTTTCCTACTCAACGTCATGGTATTGGCTTCCCCCTCACTTGCTAACTAATATGCTTGATCCCAAAGATTTGTCGCATGTGTATCCTCATCTTCTTTTACATTCAGAGTGAGATACAGTTTCGTTGGTCTTTTCATTCATGTAACAATGTAACCATTTCCATTGCCTCTTCACTTAACTTGCCAGATGAAGCTGTAAATGATTAACAAGCGAATGTACAAATAAGAATGCTAGTGTATACTGAACTCCTTCATGGAATTTGAAGATAATCTGTAGTCCAGAAAGTAAAATCAGCAAGTGCTTTTTGAATATACAAAAAGAGTCATAATTCAAAATTCTGAAGGAAACATACCAAAATTATAGATAGCAATTAATCATATAAATGATAGTGTATAATAAGCACTTCATTGAAAATGCTAAGCCCAAGAAACTCTATACTTAAGGGCATTAAGGAACAGAGTGTCTGAACACCTACCACTATGCACTGTGAAGATTGATCTGCAACTTAAACCCTTGAGTTCCAGGTTGCCATGGAATAATCTTCGCTTTGCACCAAATATCCATGATAAAAAGAGTAAATACAACAGACGCCCACTATGTTTTGATTTACCAAAAATCTTCTTAGAAGGTGAAGCAAATGCATAAAACCAGATTTTTTTGGTTTGACATTCATATGGATTAACAACGGCATTGCGGTCATAATAGTAACTTGAACAAGACATCAAGTCTCAAAATTCATGTGTTTAGGCATTAGGTCAGCCTGTACCGAATCAGCTGCTTCTCTTACTTTCCTTCTATCCCAAAATCCACCCACCACAACAGCCCATGTTTTTTCATCTGGAATGCATCCATCAGTCAACATTTCCTCGACAATACGAGCAACCTTGTGCACATCTCCTTTTTTGCAGAAATGGTTGACCAAAGTCTCAAAAGATTTAGCTTCAACTGAGATGGCTCTGGTGCGCATGCTTAGATATAATTGAAAAGCTCGCTTTGGATCATTCACAGCACACAGGCCTCGGACTACTGCATTATGGATCTTCACATGCAAGCTCCAAGTTAACCGGTTTGGAGATATTCCACTGAGAATCATTTCATCAAGATAGTTGGCTGCTTCATGAAACTTGTTATTCTCACAAAAGCCATTGATGATTTTCCAGTATAACCCTGCATCAGGTTTACATCCCTGAAGTTTCATTCTGTCGAAAATCTCTAAGGCTTCTCCAATTTTACCTTCTCCACAAAGTCCGTGAATTAAGGTACTGTAAGTTATCATATTGGGAACCTTATGTTCATGAATCATTATCTGTAATAGCTCCATTGCTTCAGAGGAACGTCCACCCTTACAAAGGCCGTCCATCAAAGAACTATAAGTGAACACATTGGGGTCAATACCTTGGCTTCTCATGTCCTCAAGGAATGTCATGGCTTCATCCAAGTTATTTGACTGGCAAAAGCCACGAATCAAACAAGTATAGGTCACTACAGTAGGCGAGCAACCATTTGCTTCCATCTCCATCAGAAGTTTTTTTGCTTCAGTGGCCTTGCCCAATTTGCAAAGCCCATTAATGAGAGTCCCATACGTATAGGAATCCGGTGAAAATCCGCGCTTGGGCATCTCATGAAAAATACGAAAAGCAGAATCCATTGTTCCACTGTTCTTGCTGAGAGCTTTAATCAAAATATTAAGGGAAGCAACACAAGGTGGAATGCCCACCCCCCTCATGTGACGATAAAACCTAAAAGCAGTTTTTAACCGGTTTTCCTCAACAAGTACAGAGAACACTGTAATATACGATTTCTGGGTTGGCTCACAATCAAACTCCTTCATCTTTTGGAAAACCCTGATCACCTCAAGTGGCTTGTGAACCCGCCCATAGGCTCGATAGACTGAGAGGAATATATCCTCAGTAATCTTACAGCTCTCATCCTTCATTCTGACAAGCATTTCCTCTGCTAAATTAAAATGATTTGCAGAAAGCAATCTCGAGATTATAAGACCAAATGTGCTACGATCGTGTCGAAAGCCATTCGAGTACTCTGCTGTTGCTGCATCAAATATAAGAACCGCTTTTTGTACATCTTTTTCTGCTCGAATCAACTGTTCAACAAAAGCCGCTGTGACTTCTCTTGGCCATTTGATTGGTATCTTGCTACCCATCAGTTCAACACTAATCTTCAAATGCTGCAATCCCCTTTCCAGAAATATGTGCCTCAAATTTTATCTAATATCATTAGCTTTTCACTGATTAAGTTGTAACAACAACAATGCTTCTTGTCGATCCTATGTATTTGAAGCATCCAATACTGAAGCTTCCTGTAATTTCAAAAGAAAAATCATTAGGGTCTAATATCTTCAACCATGTTACCAGCTAAAGAAATGCCAAAAAACAAGATTTCGTAGCAGCATCAAAAAAGTTGGTGTCTCATACAAAACTAAATTTTAAGCTCAAAATACCCTGGTACAGGAAAATCGAACAAATGGCTTTCTTATATTTGGAGCAAAGAAGAGAAATTTTGATCAAAGATTTAACCTTTACATGGATCAACAAAACATAATGAGGTGAATCAAGATTTTAAGGCAGTGAGTGCACGAGTGCATTTAATGTTGATCTGCCACTAACCACAAGGAGTGAGAGATGCCATAGTGAAAACAAAGAAGGAGAGCATTAGAGCATTAGATCTAATGCTCAAGAAAGAATTAAAGAATTTAGAATTTTCAATGTTATAGGTATCGAGAAAAAGTAAAAATAGCAAACTTACTTCATTATTCACCAAAAACTGTATTAGAGTGTGAATAAGAAATAACAAAGAAAGTAACTTTAAGAAAATGTTACTATTAATACATTGAGTTGACTATAGCGACTAATGAGCATGAAGAAATTATAAGAATTTGTCCACAATACCACTCTGACATCCAAGAATGAAAGAAATGTCAAATTTTACAATTTAGAATTTTAAAACAGCTTTTCCACTTTTTGTTGCCATTCTTGCTTACCCAACTTGAGCCCATTTGAGATAGAAATAAGAATATCTGAAAAGAGAAGAAACAATTCCTAATCCACTACAAGAAATTGAGTAGAAAGCAACGAACACCTCTATCAAGCATTTCGACAAACACCTTTCCTGCATTGTTTTTGCACCTTCTTTCACGCTAACCTCCACATTCTCATACAAATATATATCTAACCAGCTTCCCAACTTACAGTGATCTCATGAAATACAATAATAGCAGGCGGTTGAGTTAAGAATTACCTCTTCCATCAGTTTTGCTCATTTACTAGTTTGACTTGGATTGGATTGAAACAGCTTCACTCCATTTCAGCTTCTTGTATAGACTTCGCTGCATATAAATTCCGTTTCCGGCGACGGTGAGCCGAGCGGCTTCAGCTTCCCAGGGTTAAGTATTCAAAAAGCTAGAGCCGCCTCATGTATCATGTACTGTCACTTCCATTATAAACGACTAGTCTAAAAATTTAAAACTTTTTAGTGCAAAGGGTATCATTAATTTATAAATTTTCTCGTTAGGGGTCGGTCGTTAAATAATAGAATTATTAGAAAAATAATGCATTTTATTAGATTCGTGTAGTATTTAAAATTTTATTTGGTATTTTTTTTTCAACTTGACGTATAACAAATATATATTAATGTACGTATCATTTAATCAATAAATTTAGTAATTGCTTGCTTTTTAATTAATGATTTCCCGGCTAATAAATGGATGAAGGTTTCAACCTGACGAAGGGTTCAACTCATTTTGTGTCATCAAGTACTTCAAGCTCGCTCGGAGACCAACCAAAGTAAAAAAATTGAGATCTTTTAGAAAATAAATAAAGGATATATCAATAATTATATTATGTAAAAATGCTATAACAAAATGCGTGATTTATTTGTAATGTATATTTTAACAAATTTTCACTAGATTCTTAACTGTATATGATGCCTCTATAACTTTTAATACTAGTTTTCTATGCATCATATTAAAAATTATTTTTGACGAAATATTTTTAAACATAATTTTTTATAATTATCACATTATTCTTTTATACTTTATCACGAACACAATATTTTATATGATTAAAGTGTTTAATCGTTCTAAAAATTTGTAATTCTTTTTATATTTGTAAATATCCGCTATTATTATAGTAAAGTATAGCTGACCCTTGTATCAACAAAATTATATTCAATTTTGCAGAAAATTTTTGAGTTATATATTCTTTTTGATTTTCTTGGGAACTACAATATATTAAAGTTATATAGTGATATCAAGAGCAATATAAAAGTAATGTTTTTATAGGATAAAAAGTAATTTATCAAAATTAAAAAAAAATTGTATGAATTTTTTTATATATATTTTAAGCCAAAAATGACAAAATATCTTCACAAATTATATGTGCATTTTATTTTATTTTTATGACAGAAATATCATATAAAATTATAGTTATCAAAATAATTTGTCTTTTTCAAATTAACACCAAATTTTTTAGAAAAGAATGTTCAACAATAAAATACTAGTAAGAACATTTTTCAAATAATTTGATTGAACAGAAATCATGACTCTACTTATTTTCAAAATCACTCGTAACAAAAGAGAAAGAAAGTTTCAAGATAAGGTAATTTGGTAACTTGATCAATAGACTTTCAATTGTGAAATTTATAAGTTAATATTGATAAAATTTATTTATTACGTTAAAATGTGTTAAAATGTCAAAAAAAAATTAGTTGAAAAACTAATGAACAAACACAATTTTACATACTATAATTTTGATTTAAAATTTTTAAAATTTAATTTATAAAACTCAAACTCTTTTTTGTGATTGCAATCTTTATTCAGTATAACGTATATACATTAATTTGTCTTCCTTCTAACATGTGTAATTATAATAATCTCATTAACTTTTTAGCAAATAGTTATCGTATTCATTACCAATATATCATAGGAGACACGTGTTTGTTATTGCAATGTATGTCAATCTTTGATGTAAGTATCGTATAGATTGAAAATAAATTATCAGTAGTTTTTACTTTTTAAAAAATAAATTAAAAACTAATTATTTAACAAAAAAGGTTACATAAACATCTCTACGAATGTGTATATATAGTCCTCAAAAATTTGGGAGTTGAAGAACTTCATTTCTTCTCTGTCTTTATATCTTCTCTTCTTGCAAAGCTTAGCCACATCAATCCATCACCGCATTGCCATCACGAATCTCTATAATTATCACTAAAAACCAATATAAACATTATGTATAATATATAAATGTGTCATTTTACTTGGCTTCAAATTACATTTATGGTCTTCAACTTTAGATGTGCACAAACAGACACTTAAACTCGTATAAAGTTGAACAAATAGAGACACATATCATTTTTTTGTCTTACATGGTGTCCTACATGTATCGTGTTATGTAGGACTCATGTGTTTATTTATTTAAAAGTTGGATAGCTAAAGAGTGTTTATTTGTGCATTATGGAAGTTGGAAGTTAAAGTTAAAATTTAAAATTCAATATATGTACTATGCCTAAACATTACTTATTTATCGCAAATCATACAAAATTTCTTCATGTACAAAAGAAAGATGACGAAGAAAAGGAACCAGCAACAAACTCACACATCAACAAATTCATTTCAATTCATAAGGTTTAAACTGATATTATTCATAAATGTCCATGTATGTCAAATTACATAGAAAGATATACTGTCTTATAACTCTGTCATACACTAGACATATATTATATATACATTTTATATATATCAGATATTTACTCATTGTGCACCTATAACATACAAATAGCTTAAATATGATAGATAATTATATGTGATCATAATATCTTTCACACGAATAATATAACAATTCTTTTTACAAAAGAAAAAAGAGTAGATTTTCATTGAGTGTTTGTGGCAAAGTTTATGGGAGCAAGAAAAAGATTGTCCAATACTAGATATATCTATTCTATTTTGAGTTGTGTGGGTGTGGATAGAGTGAAACAGTAGAAGAGACCCATTGTAATTGGGGTGGGCGTTCGATTCTTTGATTTGATTTAATTAAATTTTGATTTGATCTTTTGGTATTTGATTTTAGAAAAATGTGCATCATATTTATATCAAACTAAGATCGGTTTGATTTATTTTTTTCCACTTCAATTCGATTTAATTCGATGTTTTAAAATTAATTTTCGATGTGAATGAAAATAAAGTGGAAACATAATAAATGTTAAGTTTCACGTGCTTGATAAAAATAAAGAGAAGGTAAATGTACGACATTATTTTTGGTTTCTCCCATACCTGAATGAATAAAGAAGAAAGCAAAATATAAGGACTCACAATGTATGAGAAGGTACATAAATAGAAACTAATAAGCGTTTGCTAGTTGCTACAATGAACAAAAGCTAACAAGCGAACAAACGTTTACTACAATAATAGTTCCAGACTTAAATTGTCATTATAATGTTATATACGTAAAACAAATTTTTGTCGTAAAGGGCTAGTTGAAGTAAAAAGTTTAAAAGGGTTATGTAAATATTTTAAGTAAAACATGTATAAGTATTATTAATTAAACAACATAATTAAATGTTTTTAAATTTATTTAAGAACTTCAGTTCTTCGGTGCACCGTAATTTCGGGACCCTTGCACCGAACTCCGAATTCAAGAATCGAAGTTTTGAAAATAAAAAATTAATACCGAACCGAAGAATTAAAAGCTAAAGAATCAAAATAATTCAATTCAGTTATATTTTTTTTATATTTATGCCCCCGCTAATTATACTCAATTGAATGGCTACAATTGAGAAATGATCTCTATTAATTTGCTATAATCGTTAAATATTGTCATATTAGGAATTAAGCGCAAATACTCATAACATTAATTTAATTAGAACTAAAAAAATAATTATCAATATAATGATAAATAAATTTTTTGAGTGAAGTGCATAAATATTCACTTTTAGGTCCGTTAATTAATTTACTATTTAAAATATTGTTTCGTAGATTTATTAACTCGAGACAAAATTTAAAATAATTACATTTGAACTTTTATAGTTTCAAATCTTTTTATTTGAATTGTGCCTAATGAATGCGAAACATAATATGCATAAACTTGAAGTTTGATATGACTTATCAATATCTTTTTTTTTTGGGTTGAAGTTATAGACTTGACAAGGTCAAATTTTAAACATTGTTGATTAAAGATTTATCTAACTTGTCAAAATTAATATCGTACATTTTTTTTATTGAGAAATATGTAAAATTAATTAAATCTTTAGTCATATCTCTTTGAATATGTCATGTACGACTAAAATGCACAGAAAATAAACTAAAAATCTTACTATATAATCGAATACCCAACTATACTGGAGTTCATTTCATAAAAAAATAAAATCTCAATCATCAATTTATCAAAAAATAACAAATTTAATAAGCTCATTATATACTTTTAATCTTTATCATATATAAACGTACTTCAATATATATGCTGTTCTCCTCAAATCTTTATATGTTTTTTTTTATTTAGTTCAAATGCATGTAAAACGGAAAAAATCAATATGTGAATTTGATTTTTTTTTAAAAAAATGATAATTCAAAGAAAATACTTTTAGTACTAGTTAAATAGGCAATCAGAAGTGTTCTTCTTCTTCTTTTTTTTTTTAAAAAAAGATGATAATTAAAAAAAAAGTGTTTTTTTCTTGAAATTACTGTCTTTGATGAAGACAGGCCCAAAAGAAGTGGAGCCCACTTAAACAAATTTGTGAGGCTCACAAATCGGATTAGTCACCCGAAAACAGAAGATTCTTGGAGCAAACATTAGAGTGAAGATAAACTTGAAAGTACCAAAAACCCAGAAAGTCTAATTTTTAATAAAAATAGAAATAAATATTTAAAAAAAAAAGAAGAGAGAGAAAAGTGGCTTCTCAATCAATGAAACAAAACACATAGTAGTTGATTTCATTGTCAAAAAAATAAGAAAAAAAAGACTCAAACCTCAAAGAGTTTTTTTGTTTAAAACAACAAAAGGAAGTAGTAGTGTATTACAACATTACATGTATGTACATGTTAAATTGTAATAACGTGTTTTTGAAATTTAAAAAAAAAACATAATTTTTTTTTGGGAAAAATTAAAAATTATAGAATTACACCGAAAGAAGATGGAATTTGGAACAAACAAGAGGGACTTGTTCTACTATACTGTTCCTTTTTATTCAATTTCTTCTGCTTCTATCGCCTCCTCTCTTCTGTATTGGGTTTATTTTTGTTTTTCCCTTTTTCATTTATTCTTATTATTAGTATTTTTATTTACCTCTTCTTTTTTTCTCCATGTGTTCTTGGTTATCACGGGAAGAATATATAGTTACCTATCTGTAACGGGGTTGTTTTTCTTTCAATAAAGATTGGATTTTTAGGGTTTTCTTCAACAAAGATCTGAAAAAATGGATGGTGGGTCGGATGGGGAAGGCAATAGGAACCTTATTCAGAGTTCATCTGAAGGACCCAAGAAGCCAAAGAGGCAGATGAAGACTCCCTTTCAACTGGAAACCCTAGAAAGGGTCTATGCTAGTATGTTTTCTTTCTATTTACTTATGGACTTGATATTTTCTTGATTCTTGATCTGGGGTTGTTTAAATCGTGTGTAGATGTGGGAAATTTGGGAGATTTAGGTGTATTATGCTGTTTATGAGACTGGAAGATGATTTGATGTGGAATTCTTTTGTGTTGTATCTACTTTGCATATTATGTAGGTGCAAACAACTGGGATGGGGATCCTATGTTAGTTTTTACGGGTGAAATTTTCAGTCTTTCTGTGGATTCTACCATTATGGTTGTTTGGTAGTGCCTTAATATTGGTGTATGTTGTGTATATCTCCCTATTGATTGTGCTCTGTGTGGAGAAGGAATTTTTGGGATTAATGTTATTGTGGGATATGCTATTCTTGTGTAATATTTTTCTACTCTGCATATAAATGTGTTTGAATGCTGTCACAAACATAGAGATCGATGGACAAAATTTTGGTCTTTATAATAGGTTCTGCGATTCCCCCATGTATGGACTGATGTTAACATTTAGTTATCAAATCTATTAATGTGTTTGTGTTTTTGTAATTGTGATATTTGACATGAACTCTCTTTTGTTTTGCTTTGTTGTTTATGCAGTGGAGACATATCCATCTGAGGCCATTCGCGCTGAGCTGTCAGAAAAATTAGGTCTAACGGACCGGCAGTTGCAGATGTGGTTTTGTCACAGGAGGTTGAAGGACAAAAATACATCAGGGGGGACAGAAAAGAAGCCACGCACTGGTGGGACAGGTGGTAAGAGAAATTTGCCGGAGTCACCTAGAGAGGATTTAGTGGTTGCTGAAGCTGCTAGTGACCGTGGCTCAGGATCAGTTTCAAGGTCAGGTTCAGGGTCAGGGTCAAGTCGGTTTGATAATGGAGATGATATGCCAGCACCGTCCATAAGATCTTATGAATCACCTAGGAGGGCAATGGAGCGACGAGTAATAGCTTGTATAGAAGCACAATTAGGAGAACCTTTACGTGATGATGGTCCTATTATTGGGGTGGAGTTTGATGAGCTTCCACCTGGTGCATTTGGGATACCTATTGGTAAATTAACCTACTCAATGTTATTGGAGATATTATAATATAAATGCACGTATGGTGTTTATCTTCTAAATTTGGATATTAGTATTGAAATGAAAGAATTTGACAATTCATATTGTCCTACATGGTCTCATTTTTCCATGTCTTTGTAGGTGTAGTTTATGATGTTATCTCAGTGTGCTTGTGAATGCATATTTATTTTCTTAAAATGATTACATTTTTGAAACAGAAAACTAATTCTGTAAAGTTCAGTGTTAAATAAGTCCAAACGGGATTTGAGAATCTTTTCAGGCAAGAGATTATTTTCAAATAAAACATTGGATCATTGAATGCCTAATGTTATTGTTTGTTACTTCCCTCTCCAAATTTTATGAGATTATATCATCATATATGTTCGTAAGTTGCTCTTTGGAGTGCTTGTTGCCTCCTATTGATTTGCCTTTGGGAAGGAGAGCAGTAATATCTTGATGTGAATGATAGAAGTAATGAATATTCTTGACTTTATGTGAATATCAAATGAGATCAAGACCTTACTGTATTTATCAAAACACTGCTCTGTGAGTTGCTATCCTGAACTATGCCTCACTTGCTTTATGAGTTGCTATCCTGAAAAATGCCTCACTAATATGAGAAACATGACCAAGGGAATCTACTCATTCCTCTGCTGTGTGCTACTTCACAGAATGCTGGTTGTTTAACAATGTTAGCGTTTTCATGTTTGTTTCCCTGAAGCCTCTTGTCATTTGGGTGTACTGATCATGTGTCATCTGGCTATCGACCTGTGGCCTTACAATATTTTGTTCAGACCTTATCGTTTTAAAGCCAGTTCTTTTGGATTGCTTTTTTGATTTGTTTTATCTTTTATTTTTCATTTATGGCACAGATTTGGAAGAACGTACGGACCATTACAGACAATCTTTTGACTGCAAATTGTATGGACAATATGATGCTAAAGTTAATGTTGGATCAGCTCTCTCTCTTTCTCCGGTATGTATAAAGAGATCAGTCTCTTGGTATTTCACATTGCGCATTTGAGTGGTTATAGCCTTGTAGGATGTGTAATATATTGTATCTTTATCCTTCTACTTTCTTGAGGAGCTACTCTCTTCTCCTATGCTCCACTGGATTTTCTTAGACCCTCTGTTTGGTCACTTTGCAAATAATTTATTTCTTTTCATTCTCCTAGCTTAAAATAATTGTGTGGCTTATTTACCGTCATCATTTAACCTCAGGATCTGTAAGTTTTTGTTGGGATATTGTTCTATATCTGTTGGTGAAGTTATTGCATAATGGGCTGGTTTTTTCACTATCAATTTGTGTGTTTGCTGCAATGCTGCTAGCTTTCATGGTTGTTATCTAGGGGGTATTATAAAATGTGCCATGTGACTGGCTAGTTTTGGATAATAACATGTCAATGGTAAAACTTGAAAGTGAGATTTATTAGCAGGTCAATTTGATGGTCAAGCTTAGCTCTACTTTATCTTCAGGTTCTGACAAATGGTCATCGTGAACCTGCTGAGCCCAAGATTGTATCTGATAAATATGGACAAATTGCAGCCCCTTACCCTTATGATTCGTCTGTTGACTGTCCTTCTAAAAACATGGCAACCATGCAACGCAATGGACATTTTGTTAGGGAATATGGTGTTGAAGGTCAAAGCATTGGTATGATGTCTCAGCAGAGCAGGCAGAGACGCTTTCTATCCCCTTCGCGGGATAATGAATTCGTCCCTGGTAATGAGGACATGTTGCAATTGGATCGGAAGCGCAAGGTAAGTTGAAGCTTCATAAGTTTATTTCTTGCGGTCATAGAAGCACTACCCACCATGCTGTTTTATTCTCTTTGTTTCCGCAGTAGGCTTAATTGTTGGTTTCTTGCAGAGTGAAGAATTTGGAATGGGAAGAGAAGTTCAAGTCAATGAAAAACGGATGCGGAAAGAACTTGAGAAACAAGATCTTCTACGGCGGAAAGTACGGAATATTTACATTTCTTGATGTGTAGCTTCTGAATCTTAATTTAAAAGTGTAAACATTGGAAAATTATTTTAATGTTTCTACAACTGATATTATAATATTTTCCTGTAAGATGGAAGAACAAATGAAAAAGGACATGGAGAAACAGGATCGTGAAAGAAAAAAGGAAGAACAAAGGCTGATGCGTGAACAGCAAAGGAAGGAGGAGCGATTTCAGCGCGAGGAGAAACGTGAAATGGAGAGGAGAGAGAAGTTTTTGCAGAGGGAGCTCGTGAGGGTAGGTTTTCAAAATGAGAATTTTGTTTTCCCCATGCTTGCATTTTTTACTTTTAAAATCTGCTAATTGGATTCTTCCCGGTACTATTGGATTTGTAATCATTAGGTGGAGAGGAAAAAACAAAAAGATGAGCTACGAAAAGAGAAAGAAGCTGCAAAACAGAAGGCTGCTATGGAGAAGGCAATGGCACGCAGAATTGCTAAAGAATCAATGGAGCTGATCGAGGATGAGCGCTTGGAACTTATGGATCTGGCTGCCTCTAGCAAAGGGCTACCATCAATTGCATCTCTTAATTATGACACTTTGCAGAACCTTGAGTCATTTAGAGGTAGGAGTTTGTTAACTTGACCGATTCTATAAAAATTAATTCTGCATGCTATTTTTAGTTTTAATGCTTTAGTTCAGGATTAGGTAATAGCATTATGTTGAAATCTCATTTACGTCGCATTTTTATCTTGTATTCCTTACGAAGAGCATGCTAGATGGTAGGGATTCCAGGAAAACCAATGATCACCTGGAATTTGGTTCAAAGTCTTATTTATAATCCAGTCTGAAGTAGAAATTTGCATATTATTCATTTTTTTCTCGCCTTTGCCTTATTTAAGCTGCTTATTTGCAAAGGTCATAAAGTTTTTGGTCTGTTGCTGAAATCTGTCTTATGTGATCCAGAATCTTTGTGTGAATTCCCTCCCAAGTCTGTTCAATTGAAAAAACCATTCTCCGTCGAACCCTGGATTGCTTCAGATGACAATGTCGGGAATCTTCTTATGGTATGCTGCTTGATCATTTAAATTTGTCTACATCACTAGTTGACTGATCTTTCTTTTGTTCTTCTATTTATGAAGTATTTCCTGCTTTTGCAGATTAAAGCAATGACACTAATTTTGATGATTATCTAAACCACATATCTACTCCTATTTGCTTATCTAAACTTAATCATTGGTTGGCTAAAGGATTTTAGACCACTCATCAGTACAAACTTATTTATATTTCAGATTAAAATAGTCAAAGTATGGATAGAGGCTTCTTTCTTCTTCCTGGTTATATCAAGTCAAATGTCAATGTTCTAGTCAATTTAGGATAGGAATTCCTATCTTTTGCAAATTTATCTTGTTTTCTTAAGAGTATTAATTAAACATCAATATTAAGGGTCTTAGAAATGTTACAAGCAATCTGTTAGTGTCGTGTGCCCTCTCTCATTGAAATGACTTTGATCTATGGCTTAGAAAAACTCATTTGATTACTTAATTGAGTGGTGGAGAAACTGTTAATACTTAACGGATGTCATACATTTAGTTTAAAATGATGAAGAGTAGTATTTGGTTTATATAAGTTTGAATTTTCGGATGGAGTGGAATTTAGGATTTAAAGAAACAGGGTCAGTATTTATTGGCAGACCAAAGTGGAAAATAAGTCATCTTTACTTGGATGGATTGTAATTGTTGAAAACTAAAATAGTAGTCATCAAACTAAATGAAGGATGATAAAACAAGGAAAAGGAGTGAAGAACATATTTTTGCTCTAAACCAAGTTTTCTATGAGTCTTATCTTGATTTTGCTGTTTTGTGTTTTGAGTCAGGTCTCTTAGTGCATTTGAACTGAACATCAAACTTTTGATTTTTGCAGGCTTGGAGATTCTGCTTAAATTTTGCAGACATTCTCGGGCTTTGGCCTTTCACACTTGACGAATTTCTTCAAGCTTTCCATGACTATGTGAGTACCTTTGGCTAAAGTTACTCGTGAACTGGCGTTCTGAGTTACTTTTTCTGCATAGTCCGGGGGACTATCACATTTACTTATCTTCTTAAAAAGGCTGGATGGGGGTCTGATTGCCATAGTTTAATTGTTCTCTGTTCAGGATTCCAGATTGTTGGCTGAGATACAAATTGCTCTTTTGAAACTGATTATAAAAGATATTGAAGATGTTGCTCGCACTCCTTCTGGTGGGCCTGGGACAAATCAGTATAGTGCTGTCAATCCTGAAGGTGGACATCCTCAAATAGTTGAAGGGGTAATCACTGCTGTGCACACTTGCTCTTTGGAACACAATTTACTCTATTGTGGGATGATCAAAGCTTACCAGTTTGTGGACTTCATTGACAGGCATATCTTTGGGGTTTTGACATACGCAGTTGGCAGAGGCTCTTAAATCCTTTGACGTGGTCTGAAGTACTGCGCCAATTTGCACTCTCTGCTGGATTTGGACCTCCATTAAAGAAAAAGAGAGAACGCACTTGTTTGAATGATTCTGATGAGGTGCACCATTTTCTGTCCTCATTTTCATCTTATTGATATATCATGGCTTCTATTTTTTTCCTGTGGCTTAATATGTAATATTTTGTAGTAATCTAAGTAAGTGGATATTTTGACATAGGTTTGCTGCAGATGGGAGACATAGTGAACTTCTTAGTAATTGGTTATTTTGATGAGATGTATACTTCAAAAACTCACTTGAGATGTTTTTTTGTAATTGCTCTCTGCTATTGCCATAGGACAGTAGTTGCAATTTGGATAGATGTCTTCTTCTTAGCTATTTTATGTTGTGTAAAGTCATTATCTTATGTTTCATTCTGGTGGTGCTATTTCTATGGTCATGTATAATATCCGCCCAAGTTCATGATCCATTAGCTAGTCTGCCTAATTTTGATCATACCAGATTCAGTTGATAGCACAGCATTTTTTGTCAAGACACTCGGATCTTGATTGAATCATCTTGAACCACTAGGATTCAAACTGTTTCTTCTTCCAATTGTGTTATCCAACCATTGTTTCTTTCATGTACTGGCAGTCAGTGAAGTGGGTGAAAACTAGGGGAGACTAGGGTCAAATCCCAGGATAGACAACCTAGGCTAGGTGACTTTTTCCCATTTGTCCAAGGTTAGGTGAGCAGAGGCACATGGTGTTCCTGTTGGTGGGAGGTAGCAGGTGGAATAGTCGAGGCGAGTGTAAGGTGGCCCAGGCACAACTATTTTTAGAAAAAGAAAATGTTGGTATATATGGTGCTATGTAGGTTTGCTTATTGAAATGCTGGTATAAAGTTGGATGACTGTGGGAAAGTCAATCTGCTACTGATGGATTCTCACCGAAACTAGCTCCCTAGCCATAAATTTTTCCACCTTTTAGTCCATCATCCCAAGCTATTGCTCTCCCAACTATCTCAATTAGCTGATATTGCATACTTCTTGAATCAATTAGAAGCTTTACCTTTTGGACCTATGTGATGTCGTTTTAAAATCGAACTCCGTGGTCATAGTCGACCTTAAGTTGCTTTGAATTGAAGCTTAATTGTTATTGTTTTGTGAGATGCTGGTTTGCGGTTAAATGGTAGTTCTAAGATAATCATCAGAGAGCTGCTCACTCGTATCTTTGAATGCTCTGTATCCGTTCTTCGGCATTCTAGGTCAAATGGATGGTGCACTATGTCTAATTATGGTAATGTTCTTTAATTATGCAGACTAAAGGTTGCGAAGACATTGTGTCCAACCTTCGAAGTGGTTCGGCAGCTCTTAATGCTGTTGCAATTATGCAAGAAAAAGGGCATATGTCACAACGCAAATCCAGGCATCGGCTGACACCAGGGACTGTGAAATTTGCTGCTTACCATGTTCTCGCTCTCGAGGGAGACAAGGGCTTGAATGTTCTAGATATTGCGGAAAGGATTCAAGTAAGTATTCTCTTGATTCACATTGTCACTGTCTCATGTTAATCTGGTTCGATTTGTTTGAAGATTTCTTGTTAATTTCTTCTCTATGCTTTGTTCTACAGAAATCTGGTTTACGTGACCTTTCAACCAGCAAGACTCCAGAAGCCTCTATATCTGTTGCTTTGTCAAGGGATCCAATACTTTTTGAAAGAATTGCTCCTTCAACATACAATGTTCGACTTGCTTTTAGGAAGGATCCTGCTGATGCTGACGCAATTATTTCAGCAGCCAAGGAGAAAATACAAAGATATGCTAATGGGTTTCTCTCTGGACAAAATGTTGAAGATGAAGAAAGAGATGACGATTCTGAAGGTGAAGGTGATGTTGCTGAAGGTCCAGAAGTCGATGACTTGGGTACTTCATATGGTGCTAACAAGAACAATGAACAAAGCAGCCTACTTGACACCTGCTTGGTGAATGGAAAAAGTAAGCTATCTGATGAGATTGGACAACAAATTGGAGTTGATGTTGTTGGTAAGGACATGTTTCTAACTACTAATGTTTTTTTATGTTTTATGCTTTATTTTTTTTATTTTTTTGATGTGAAAGCACATCATTGTAGTAGTTCTTTGGAAACACTATTTTTCATTATCTGTTGATGCACTCTTATAGGTATTGCGGTTAGTAACCCCAGCCAAGGCTGTTCAGAAATTGACGAGACCAAAGCAGGTGAGCCATGGGTTCAAGGACTCGCTGAAGGTGAATACTCTGACCTATGTGTTGAGGAGCGTTTAAGTGCTCTTATTGCCTTGATTGGCATAGCAAATGAAGGAAATTCTATCCGTGCAATTCTTGAGGTAATAGATCTGGTAAATTTATCATTATAGACCATTATTCCATTACTGTCTCTTTCAGCTATCTAACAAAGATGGTTTTGTAGGACCGTCTGGATGCAGCAAATGCTTTGAAAAAACAGATGTGGGCTGAATCCCAATTGGATAAAAGACGATTGAAGGAGGAGACAATCAATAAATTTAATGATAGTTCCTTCAATGTTGTGGTTGAGGGTAGCCAAAGCCCATTGGGGTATCCAAACAATAAAAATCATGGGACATCACCAACCACACTGGTAAAGGATGACTCTGCTGGTATAGTAGACAATCTTCAGAACCACTTTGAAAGCATTCCTGCTGAGAAGAGTTCAGCCGCACAAGAAACCTTTGTGGGTCAATTTGCTGTACCAAGTGGGAATACAGCAGAAAGGTCACGCATGCAGTTAAAATCTTTCATTGGCCACAAAGCAGAAGAGATGTATGTGTACAGGTCTTTGCCTTTAGGTCAAGACCGGAGACGCAATCGTTACTGGCTATTTGTTGCCTCTGGTTCTAGCGAAGATCCTGGTTCTGGCAGGATATTTGTTGAATCACCTCATGGCTGCTGGAAACTTATTGACACTGAAGAGGTATGCTCCTTTCATTATTTCTTACAATGCGCTTTGCTGTTAGTGCGTCAAAGTATGTTTAGTTGGCTGAATATACATTTTACCCAAGGGAAAATGCTTGCACTATTTTTTTTTTTAAAAAAAGAGGCCAGCCCAGTGCACCACGCTTTGTGTGGGGGGTCCAAGGATGGGTCTGACCGTAATGGCTCTATTGTATGCAACCTTACCCTGCATTTCTTCAAAGAGTTTTTTCTGTATTTAGGTGTAAGAAATGGCAAGTTAGGACTGAACAAGATATAACAATTGACAATGTCTGGTAAATGAAGACCCTGGATGAATCCGTAATTTAGACTTTAGAGAGAATTACATGTCTGGTAATACTCAAAAAGTGTTGTGGGAATTGTTGCTTTTCTGGACTAAAAAGTTATTGGGGTCAGAGAAATATGTAGTTGTATAGATCTTAGCAAGGTCTTGTCTGTCCTAAGAATATTAGACCTAGCTATTACCTGTTTATCTACTAATCCTTTATTTTACCTGCAGGCATTTGATTGTCTTTTGGCTTCTTTGGATACTCGAGGGGTTAGGGAATCACATTTGCATATTATGTTACAAAAGATTGAGGGTCCTTTCAAGGGGCGCGCACGGCAAAACATGTCTTGTGGAGCTAGTTCAAACCCAACATCTGGTGTAAGTGCAGACAGTCCTGGCAGTGCCATATATGGCGTGAGTTCTGATAGCTGGGAAACATCTTCTTCTTTTAAGATTGAGCTCGGAAGGACCGAGGAAGAGAAAAAGAATGCCTTACAGAGATACCAAGTTTTTCAGATCTGGATGTGGAAAGAATGTCTCAGCTCATCAATTTTATGTGCCATGCGGTATGGGAAGAAAAGGTGCTTGCCACTTTTGGGCATTTGTGGCCACTGTTTAGATTCTTACCTTTCTGAAGAGGGTATTTGCCCTTCTTGCAACAAGATGAATTGCGAAGTTGACATGAACGGCAAGTTCATTGAGCAGGCAATGGATTCTATGGACAATCTGAAAATTGATTACAATAATTTGGTGGTTTCAAACGCTTGTCCTGTAAGAGTAAGATTAATGAAGGCCGTATTAAGTTTCACTGAGGTGAGACTTTTGAGATATATCTCCAAGAATGTGGTTTTCTGTTAGGCTGTCTGCCTTCACTTTTCTCCTTCTGTATTTGTCTTTCCTATGTCTGAGACATATGAACATGAAGTACATATGTGATATGAGGCACAATCTGTTGACTGCTTTTAGTTTCTTATAGCATGATATTTAGTATTAACTTTGTTGCTGGAATGCACAGGTTTGTGTGCCATATGAGGCACTTCAATCATCTTGGACAGAAGACTGTAGAAAGACATGGGGCCTGAAACTGCAAAATTCGTCATCTCCTGAGGATCTTCTCCAGGTATCTCACTCCCTTCGACTCGTCTTATATGAGATTACCGTTTGAGTCTTGTGTTTTACAAGTTTTTGAATGTTTTTTTAGATTTGTTTGGTTATGAACAAATATGATTTTTAGTTCTTTTTATGAAATGCATTACTTTCTCGAATTTCCAAGAATGTTGAAGATTCTTTTTTCTTGGCATGTGTGAGTTCACTACGAAAATATGCTTTGGGACTCATCTGTACCCCATCATTAATCATTGTTATTTGTACAGTAATTATATTTTTGTTTATTTCATTTTCTTGGGTCAGTCTAATTTAGGCTTACAGATAGAAGTGTCTTGTCAAGGTACAATTTTTTTTTTTTATGATGTTGAATTAAGGTGAAAAAATATATATGCTTAGATGTATTATAATGAACTGGCAGGATTTCTTCTCTAGTGAGTTCTCTCTTCTTGTCTTTTTGAATAAAAGAGGGAGAAAGAGTAGAATATAGAAGTGAAGGTTACCCCCCATCTGGGAATTGGTTTTACTCCTGCATGGTTGTTCCTCAAAACAGTTATTTTGATCATCTAAGTTCTGTACTTTGCCAGGAAGCATATGGCAAATTCAGATAGTTCGACTGATTTGTTTGCTGTTGCTGAACCTGTTCCTATACATCCCCTCCAAATTCAGAAGCTGCAAGAAGAAATGGTTCTTGATTTTTTATTTTTTATTTTTTGGGCAGATTCTGACTCAGTTAGAGGGTGTCATCAATCGTGATTACTTGTCTGCTGACTATGAGACTGCACAAGAATTGATGGGTCTATGCGCTTTATCAAGAAAAACTGCTCTTGAATCTACTTACCCTGAACCTGTGCCACAGCTCCCATGGATACCTCAGACCACCTCTGCAGTGGCTCTCAGACTTTTGGAGCTTGATTCCTCCATATCCTATGATCCTCAGCAGAAAACTGAGGCTGAGTTGAAAAATAAAGTAGATTGCCTTCCAGTTGAGTTGTCTTTCCTTCTGATTTAAGTCATTGGTATTTATTAATTATGTTTAGTTTTGCTGTTTATCCATGTTTATTTGCACTGCATGCTACTGTCTTTGTGGATTTATTTTTGGTGAAAGAAAAATTTTCAACTTGTATATGGTCCAACATTTGATCATCCACTGGCTTATCGCATCTAGGACTGCAGATAATACCTGTGACTATATAATAAATGCTATAATTTTGGATAAGGATGTTCTTTCTTCTGAATCGTCTTGATGACTTAATTTTTTTCTTGCATACAGAAGCCATCTTTGGGGTATGCTTCTTTGAAAGATCCACAAAAGATAGAAGCAACAGTGATGGATCATGGACTAATGAGAGAGGAAAACTGGGATTATCTCAACAATATGCCTAGCAGCTCAAGAAGTAGGCAAGTTGTTCGTGGGAGGGGAGGCAGTCGTCCTCGTGGAAAGCTGCAAAAAGGAACTACTAGCAAACAACCAGAGTCTGGCAGGACTGTTGTAAGGCCTAGTGAGACGTTAACTCAAGTTCTTATTAAGCAGGGAGAAACGCATGGGCAGAGACATGTACGAGGTCGCCGAACTGTCAGGAAGAGGAGAATAGAACAGAAAATTGTGGAAGAGGCTCAACCAGATTATTTGGGTGACAGAAGCAGCCGGCTAAGTCTTGTAGTATCACCTAGAAAGCATGTGACAGAAGAGTTCGACATGAATATGGAAGGAATAGAAGCCACAAATGACAATAGTATTAGTATGGAAGCTGCTGAATCTGATGATAGTGCTCCTGAAAATACATATGATTTTAATAGGAGTGATCTAATGGATATGTCAGATGAGGATCAGGTTGTTTCTGCCGGTGATGGAATTGAAGACGACAATGACGATGAAGATGATGATGACAACGACAACGCTGATAGATACAGAAGCCATGGTCAAAATCTGGGAAGATATGTTAACATGGATGACGACTCAGATAGAGATGGGGATGTCAATGAGGATCAAGAGTCGGGCTCTTCAGAGTCTGAAGATTATAGTGATTGAGGTTGCCAAGATTTTTGTGGGGCTTGACAACTGCAATATAGCTCTGATGGTTGATCGCCAGAACACAGAGGTTCAGTGTGATGCGTTCGTTCTTCTTTTAAGGAACTTTGGTATTCTTTTGAGATGAAGCCCAAGAGCTGGCTTGTCTTTGTATATAGTGTTAAAGGAGCAGAGTTTTGTTACACTTTATTATCATAGAACAATAGTATAAAAAATTGGTAGTCAGTCGAGAGTTCGAATACCGTCGTGCAATCATCTATTAAGAGGGGCTGTTGGTGATCAAAATCATCTATGTCAAATTCTACAGTTGCACATTTCTGATCATTTTTACTTCAATGTTAAAATGATTGATGGCTTATCTAAATGATAGCTTGTTAGGCAATATCTTTTGCTCCACTGTAGTTTATTATTTTATTTCTCACTCTTTTGATAATTGCAAAAACTCAAATTTAGTTTGAAGTTTCCCTGTAACAGTAGCCAATTTGAGTAAAGACTAATGAAATGTAGTCGACAGATATCTAGCATTAAAAAAGAACACCGTTTTTACATTGAAGAAAGTAGATCTCATAAAGCGTTTGGATAAAATCGTTGAGACTAGTTCCTGCTATAGTTAACCTATCTGCAAAGTTACAAGATTTCACAATGCAAGTTTGTGCAAAGTACACGAGGAGTCGGACGATACGTTTATTATATACATTATACACCACAGCAAAAGCATATTGTTGAAGAGTTGTAAAATGTCAAAATACTTTGTGACTATCACATATTTATTGACTTACACAGAGAATAGAAGATAATAATATGTAAACACTACAAGGGAACCAATACCCAAGATAGTAAATAACAAAAGTAAATGATAAAAGAAAGTAACTAAAACAGTACACAGACTGTGTAAAGATGCTATGGATTTTGGCCTAGGAAGGAAGCAACCTCTTAATTCCAGTCTTCTGATCTGCTGTTAACCTTGTAGGGAACTTGATATTGAACTTGATCCTCAGATTTCCTCTCTTAGAAGGATCTTTGGGTAGTGGCATACCTTCCTTTGGGACAATCTCTTCATAGTTTGGGTGTATTACCTTGTTGATAGGAATAGTCAGTTTTCTTCCATCAAGCGTTGTTACATGGGCTGTGTAACCTGTTAATGCTTCAACAAGTGAGATATTCTGATTGATTACAAGGTCATTCCCATCCCTTGTGAAAACACTGTGCGGTTTCTGATCAATTGTGAACACGAGATCTGCAGGAAGAACGTTTGGCTCTTCATTTCCTTTCTCTGTGAATGTAATCTTCGTTCCCTTCTTCCAGCCAGGTTTGATTATAATGGTCAGAATTTCTTCTACTGGTAAAGTCTTCCTGCATACAAAACTAGTTGTCAGAATATCAACAGCAACAGTGACAACTTCATGTAATTCGACCAGATGAACAAAGTTGGACATTGTGCTGTTCCTTTATATGTTTCTACAGCAGTGAATAATTTAGAAGTTAAAGATTTTTTGGTCCATGGAACTCATCAATGTTCAGCAAACCAGAACATACATTTAAGCTATTACTCCTATCCTACTTGTTCTTTTATAATAATACGCCTACAATTGACACTCGAGCATAATTTAGAAGTAAGAACTCCACACGATGCCTATATTCACATTCATTTTGGCCACAAATTACAGGCACAGTTTTGGTCCATGGAACTCATGATAGTTCAGCAAACAAGAATATATCAATGTTCAGCAAACCAGAACATACATTTAAGCTATTACTCCTATCCTACTCATTCTTCTATAATAATACGCCTAATTGACACTCAAGCATAATTTAGAAGTAAGAACTCCACACAATGCCTATATTCACATTCATTTTGGCCACAAATTACAAGCACAGTTTTTGGTCCATGGAACTCATGATAGTTCAGCAAACCAGAATATACATTTAAGTTAGGCTTAAGTCATCTGGTCTGTGTACATTTAAGTTAGGCTAGTTCCAATTGAACACCTTTATTAGCTAAAAAAATAGGCAATACCTAGTTAACATTTTTTCGACAATCAACTAAAAATAGAAATTGTGTCCCATACACTCACAATGACGTGGCATAGTAATTAATCAGAAAAAGACATGTGACATTAGGCCCATAATAACAATTAAAAGATATATTAAAAATAAAATAAAATAAAATAAAAGCACTTTTTTTTAAGCAATAAGAAAAAACACACCCACCCAACCCCGACGTCTATCCTTCCCATGTTCTTCTTTGTCAGTACACATACAACCGCCTCCGGCTGAAACCAAACATACTCTGATAACCATCCTACTACCTCCAATAACCAAACACCTACCTCCTCTCTTTTAACGATTACTAAGAAAATAAAATAGTTTCAGATTCATATTGGTCTTCCCGGAGAAAATGGAGTTCCAATGGAAATGTTTGCGACTCAATTTGATTCTTATTTCTGAAAAAACTCTCTTTTACAACTCAAATGAAAATCTTTATCAGTAAATTCTTCTTATTTTGTGTTTTGACTGGTTATCTATTTAATTGATGTTTTCCCAATGAGGGAAATAACAACGATGGCACTGATTACGGCGGAATGATGCTAAAAAGAAGGATTAGATGAATTCCGATGAAGGAAATAACAACGATGGCATTGATTACGGCAGAATGATGCTAAAACGAAAGAAAGAAGGATCAGATGGAAGAGGTGTGTGTCAAGGGATGGTGGCGATTTGCATGACGAGAATATTGGATTAAGAAGTCGAGGGGAAGACAAATTGGGTAAAGATGACGCTAGGGATTTTATTTTTCATATGTTCAAAATTCTCTAATGTTGATAATGTCTATTTTTGATTGGTCTGCAGAAAAAATAATAGTTATGGCTTCACAGGCTTTCTTAAATGTGTATTACACTCATGATGCCATGTCACCAAAAAGCACTTAACAGGTACATATTTTGAACGATAAAAGCGATCAATAGGTCAACCCCTAGTTGAGGTGTCCGAGTGGATTATGCGAACAATTTAATTGGCAGCAAATGACTTAAAGTCTTTAAGTTATTTCTCCTATCCTACTCATTCTTTTATAATAACACACCTACAGTTGACATTCAAGCATAATTTTGGAAGTAAGAGCTCCACAAGATACCTATATTCACATTCATCTAGGCCACAAATTACAAGCACAGTTTTGGTCCATGAAGCTCATGAATATTCAGCAAACCAGAAGATATGTTTAAGCTATTACTCCTATTCTCCTCATTCTTTTATGATAATACGCCTACAATTGACATTCAAGCATAATTTGGAAGTAAGAACCCCACCCGATGCCTGTCTTGCATTCATCTTGGCCACAAATTAAACACAAATACTTAAAGAACACAGCAAAAACTTGTGCAGCAAATACAAGATTCAAACAACCTGCAGGCCCCTTGATGGCAATCAAGTTGCTCCATAGTGAACAGTTATACGAGACATAAGAGGGATCGGCTACACAAGAATTCGACAATTAACAAGGAAAAGTTCAATGAACTCAACAGATACTAATTCATAAATTAACCAAGCAGGGACCATAACTATAAAGTAACAGAAAGGATAAACATGACTACTTAATAAAACAAGCCAAATAAATAGTAACAAGCATATCATATCTGAAAATTCTGATCAGTTTACTTACCCACTTGCATCAGCAATCTCCCTAGAGATCTTCATCTTCTTGGTTGTCCCACTATAAAGTTCTTCTAGACTACAAGGGACTGTTCGTTCAATCGGTGGCGCCTTCCGTATGGTTGGTCTGCCTTCTCCAAATGAACTGAAGATATCATCTCCAAACATTGAACTAGAAAACCTTGCACCTCTCATCCCACCACCGCCGCCGCCTCCCATCCCACCACCGCCAAACGGGGTTTGAAACCCAAAAAATTCTGCAAAGATATCATTGGCATTTCTTGGATTGAATCTGAACACATTTGGTCCATCACCTGTATGGAAATATGTAGCCCCACCAGGTCCACCAGCAGCAGCATCTGGTGGTGGCACTTGACCTTTAAGGCCTTCTTCCCCATACTGATCATAAATTGCCCTTTTCTGTGAATCACTCAAAACCTGCAAACACAATTTCAACATAAAAATACAATCTTGAAAAGATAATTGAAAACCCTATTTAACAAAATTCAAGAATCAACGCATTGGGAATCAAGAAAGAGCCAAAACTAGCAGTAATTAACAGAATAGAACATAAAGTTTGCAGTTTTATTCAAAAACCAAGAACAAGAATCGTGAATTAGGTACCTCATAAGCTTCAGATATCTGTTTGAATTTCGCCTCAGCCTCTTTCTTGTTATTTGGATTCTTATCAGGATGCCATTTCATAGCCAATTTTCTATAAGCTTTCTTGAGTTCATCATCTGTAGCACTCTTATCAACTTGCAATATCTTATAGTAATCTACACCCATCTTCTATAACCAGTTATCTAACTCAAAAATTGATATAAGAGGCAAATTTATGCAGAGAATATGTATGCTTGTGTTATGTAAATTGAACGATTGAAGTTTTGGTTGTGGGCAGAGTTTTTTATTAAGAGAAGGAGAGATGAGTCTAGAAAAAACAGAGCAGTAGAAAAGGGAAGAATGTAGAACTTTCCGGACTTCAGTTCAGTACTGTTATTTTGAAGTGCAAACAAATTCGCTATTTCCAGAAACCCTTTCGACACATTCCGACTACATATTTATTCGCTATGTTTCAATCTATACGATATTTATCATTTTTCCAGAGTAAAAATACTTAGATTGGACATTAATGCATAGAATTTATAATTTTTTGAAATAAAATTTATATATTTATAAATTATTTAAAAAAAATTACAAGTCACAATTATATATCTATATTATAGAACACTAAGTCCCTGTGTAGTGCCACCACAAGTTGGGATTCCCTTTAAATTTATTTTAGGACTCCTTTATTTTATTCTAAAATTCATTTTCCTTTTTATGGAAAATTGTGATATTTATAAAAAAATTGTAACATTGTGATTTTTATAATAAACTATGACTTGCATAAAGTGTTGCGACTTTTATAAAAAGTTCCGACTTTTATAAAAAATTGTAACATTTATGAAAAGTTTTGACTTTTATGAAAAAATTATAACTTTCCAAAGGGTTGCAACTTTTCCCGATAGTTATAACCTTTCTGATAAAGCACAATAAATATCTGTTCACACTATCCTTTGTTGTTTATAGAGAGAGGGATTTTCTCTCATTTTAAAACAATGAAAATTCTAACCTTTTCTTCTTCACTATTAATTATTTGTGTACTTTGCTTATATTGAATGGCTTACTGAAATCATCGCTCATGTTACCGATCTTGATATGTATTTTTACAATCATTAAGTTATGCTTAT